TACATAAATACGTAATCCAAGTCGGCTGTTCATTTGCGGTCCAAGATGATCTCCAATATCTAGTGAATTTTGACAGGCAGTCACCAAACAAGCCCACCCATTTTTAAGCCTAACTCAAAGTAAATCTAAGCCACATTACAGAGTTAGCTTCTGTGTGACTTTATAAATGCTAGGCTTATGATAATTAGGTTCATGCCCTCTATTTAAAAAACTAGGGTGGTGTCAAAATATAAAATTATCCAGTGAAACTTTAAAGTTATGCTATGATTTTAAATTGCATTTCAAGTCACAACACACGACAATTGCATTAAAGAAACCCCCAGCTTAAAAAAACTACTAAGCTGTAAGCATTAAATAGTGACGTAATGAGCATACAAAACAGTTGTTACACTATAATTTAAAATTGTTCCACATGTAAACAAAATTGCTTAACTATGCAATGGAATGTTTTAGCTAATTAATATAAATTAACATAGAAATACCGAAAGTAGCAAAGAAATATCATCTTTAGCACATATATCAACGAGAAAAGACTTAATACATATCAACATAAGCAACATATAAATGGAATAATAGCATACCACTCAGATATGGAGTTACCAGAAATAATGTCTGAACAATTTTAATGCGGAAACAATATTATTATGAAGTCTTAGACGAAATTCAGCCCTGTTTGAAGACCATCGATAACAGAAATTCGAGAATTTGGTTCAATAAAAGAACAGCTTGATTTAACAATCTGACTTATGAAGAAACATATCGGAAAGAGAACAAGTACAGTACATACATTATTTACCCCAGAACACCATTTCTCAAGACGGATAATGCAACTGAATATTTATCCCATGTTTCACGTACCATATTCGAACAGGGCATATGTGAAAGTACAAGAGGGATGTTTGACATGGAATGTATATTTAATATTGTTCCTATAATGGCTTACGAACGAAAATTATGGCTGCATTTTCTCTTATGCTAATCTTCAGATGGATACATTGGGACTCATCATATTTATAACCACTACCATACGATTTGTTAACATGTACACTACACAAATCAAACCAGATTCACTGTATCAGCACTTATTTTATTAACTTCTGTGCGATTTTGTTGTTCAAAGAAACCCCAGCTGTGTATTTTGTAAACTGCCATTTCGATTGCAAATTGTGAGATAGATCATATTTGGCAGATATTCTAAAGTCACTGAAATGTTGCCTTTCCGTACTTCTCATTAATTAAGTGTACAAATATTTCTCTGAAAACGAATGATTTTCAGTATGTAATCGAGATTATCACATCATATCACTTCAGAAACTTTTGTGAGAGCTAATATATCGGAAATCTTTTGCGATTTCTCTAAAAGAATCGCTTATGTAATCCCCATTGTGCTTCACATTTCAATCCCATCCGTTTATATCCGACGTAATTAACAGCTAACGTAAACGGCATAACCTTCCATGGTGACAGAAACCAACAATTTCGTAAATAAGATTTGTGGATTAATTTAAAGTTAATCAACATAATGTTTTATAAGAATCATATTCAACTTGAAAACATTTTACAATCATGCTAAAGGATGAAAATATTACCATTTGAATTGGAACAAATTATTAAAAAAAACAGTACAAAATAAACGGAAGAAGACGCTCAATACATTGGACAAACTTAATGGCATAAATGAGTTCAAGAAACAAACAACAACAAAAGAATATTTTAACAAATACGTGAAACAAAGTCGGTACAAAAATGAAGATTTCAAAATAATTCACATGTCATGTAATTGACAGGCTATGAAGAATACGATCACAAATTATTTCGCATGACAACCATATAATTTTGCAGGATATGAAACAAACTATAAATCAAACACAGTTTTAAATAATAATTTTTGTTATATCATTTGAATGCTATCATGAATAGTTATATTTCGGAAGTTTAAAAATGTGGAAGATTTATATATATGGTACCATATAATTTCTTCTTTTTTATAACAGAACAAAGCAGATAAAATAAAATTATACAATACCTCAAAGCAAACGATAGAAGAACACAATACAAACAGAGGCTTTGGAAATTGTTATCTTTATGGTTGATGAGATTTTAAATTCTATAATTTAACATATCTTGTCCACGTGTGTTTTTATTTAATTATATTTTCTTTGTTTTCAGTTTGAATGGTTTTAATTCCATCGACAGTCTTTTTGCAATTTTATTAGCATTTATCACAAATTGATATTTTAATGAAAATTATTAAAAGCTATAAAGTTAGTAATCAGTACTAATATTTGTAACCCCATATCTTAATGATAGCAATCCAGCAAAGTATCTAATTCATTTTTTTTCCGAAGTAATCCTTTTTTCTGGTTCTAATTCATTAGATTTTTCAGTTTGAAGCAGTTTATTCATTTAAGATGTTTTTAAAGCATCTTTGAATCTTACAATAACTTTGATATTTAACTGATCTTGCGTTTACAAAATCTATGTTGTTTTTTAAACTTGTTTATCGGATTCAGCTTTTCTCAGCTAAATGTTAAACAATTATACCCTTGTTTGTACCATTTTCTTTTTGAATTTTAATTTATATTTGTATTTATCGCCAATATCACGGTACTTATTAGCTTTGCTTATTTTCTGCAAGACCTAACTATTTTTCAAGTTTTTTTTTATCCGTTTTATAGTGAAAACTGTCTGAAATCCCTGTGCTCAAGAATTTGATGAAAAATGTCTGAAATCCCTGTGCTCAAGAATTTGATGAAAAATGTCTGAAATCCCTGTGCTCAAGAATTTGATGAAAAATGTCTGAAATCCCTGTGCTCAAGAATTTGATGAAAACTGTCTGAAATCCCTGTGCTCAAGAATTTGATGAAAAATGTCTGAAATCCCTGTGCTCAAGAATTTGATGAAAAATGTCTGAAATCCCTGTGCTCAAGAATTTGATGAAAAATGTCTAAAATCCCTGTGCTCAAGAATTTGATGAAAAATGTCTGAAATCCCTGTGCTCAAGAATTTGATGAAAAATGTCTGAAATCCCTGTGCTCAAGAATTTGATGAAAAATGTCTGAAATCCCTGTGCTCAAGAATTTGATGAAAAATGTCTGAAATCCCTGTGCTCAAGAATTTGATGAAAAATGTCTGAAATCCCTGTGCTCAAGAATTTGATAATCCTTTTTGTCTCAGTGAAGATTACTTCGACAAGGGACTGCTCCGGTTGCCTAGTGGTTTGAGCATCAGATAATGGCAATGAGCATGCAAAGAACAGCTTTCGTCTTTGGCATTAACTTCAAAAAAAATATATCTTGAATTTAGGAACTCGCGTATACTTTTATCTTTAAAAAAAGGCAATTAGATGCTTTACATCCCGATATCGTCATCCATTCTACCCTGTTTTTGTGATTTTGCAAATGTTCATATCAAACTACTTTGTATTCATTAAATGAATCATTATCCAGTTTTAAGTATAATAATCTAAACTGGTTATTGTGTAATAGAATAATTGCCTGCTGTGTAGTATGGTTTTATGTCGTTTATGTCTTTTGCTATGTTAACTTGTTTAAATAGGTCGAGCATTTCACTGTGTTAAAGTGAGTTACGGGACAAGAATAGTGTATACTACTTGGTTGGAGTCCATTATGTAGTTATCTACACACAAAAAATCAACAGTTATATGCACTGCTTTTTCTTCACACAAAAAATCAAGTTATATGCACTGCTTTTTCTACACACAAAAATCAAGTTATATGCACTGCTTTTTCTACACACAAAAAATCAACAGTTATATGCACTGCTTTTTCTACACACAAAAAAATCAACAGTTATATGCACTGCTTTTTCTACACACAAAAAATCAACAGTTATATGCACTGCTTTTTCTACACACAAAAAATTCAACAGTTATATGCACTGCTTTTTCTACACACACAAAATCAACAGTTACATGCACTGCTTTTTCTACACACAAAAATCAACAGTTACATGCACTGCTTTTTCTACACACAAAAAATCAACAGTTATATGCACTGCTTTTTCTACACACAAAAAATCAACAGTTACATGCACTGCTTTTTCTACACACAAAAAATCAACAGTTATATGCACTGCTTTTTCGTAACATCAAATGTGTGTGCAATTATCATAATGTAGAGCGAAAAGTCGGACGAGAGACTCCGCTGATCTTCCTTCGCTTGAAAAACTTTTACAAGACATTTATTCTTTGCATCTTCGTAATTTCTTTAGGTAAATTCTTTACGTTTTAATTTTGTCTCTGGTATTTGTAAGTTATCATTCTGAAATATAGCAGTTGTCATTCTAATGACTTATTCTATTTATTGATAATTGCAATGCCGCGTTTGGAGAAAAAGTTCCTCGAGTAGACCAGATATATTAGTGCAGAAACAGTTAAAATTTTGGATAATAAACCATGGTTTTGTTGTAATAAAGGATATGCGAGTGAGTTACCCAGGAGATTCTTTTTAATGAAAGACAGGCGATTGACTGACAAAATTTTTACCCCAACAATCCTGTATCATATTGTCCTCTTGTGTTGGAACAAAATTTAAAAATAATGGATAGGAGGATGAGTGCCATAACTATTTTGTAATGGAGGATATGAGTGTGAGGGCTTAGAGCCCTTTTGCAAAGTTAACAAAAGAGGGATTCGGTCGATTAATGTTTTAAAAAAAATGTAAGAAAGAAATATTATGCTTTCTTTTATTAAAACCAAAACAAAACTTGTATGATAGTAATTAACAACAGCTTCAGCCATAAAAAGAAACAACAGGGGAAATAACTGCGGAGAGCATTATTGTGGTTTAAAATTTTTCACGATTTAAATGGAGTATGAGTGGGTGGGAGGTCTATGACAGGGTCTATATACTGCTCAGTGAAATAATATTTTGCGTTCACTCCTCCTTTGCCACGGAACGAAAAGGCTAGTGCCTTAAGCAAAATGCCATTTTCGCATTTTCGCTGAGTTCTCGATTCACTCTGAACCCGGCAGCTTTGTAATCGTGTCTTACGGACCACTATGGTTAAAGTGTCCAACTTGTATGCGGGATGTCGCGGGTTCGAACCCCGGCCGAGTCATACCAGAGCTTATAAAAATGTTACTATCTGCTGTCTCGCTTGGCACTCAGCAGTAGGATATGAGCGTTCGGACTGGTTTACCTGGTTTCAGGATAATGTGACTAGGCGGAAAATGATGCCATATGCCTGCAGCATGATGCTCAAGCGTTCGACATCACTATAAACTTCCACACTGCAGACATCGTAGCGATATAACCAGAAACCTTTTAAAGCTGCGTAAAAAATCAAAATTACACGCACATACACACACAGGCACACACACGCCGAATCTAGTCTTTCTATGTCACTAAATAATGATTTTCATTATTGTGCTGGTGTATTCTTATAAGAGTGTTTTTAATGAAAAATGTGTTCTCTTATGGACATATGACAATAATATACTGTCTGGAACTTCCGTATTGCGTGGAAAAAGTTTATACTCTGCTGAATTCCCATATTTGTACCTCTAACACACACAGAAACAATAACACAAAGATCAACACGCAAAGAACATACTTAGTTTTACATTTTGATAGTGAAGCAAAGCTATTCAAATTATTGATACGGTAATATATATATATATATATATATATATATATATATATATATATATATATATATATATATATATATATATATATATATATATATATATATATATATATATATATAATACGACCCATATATCAATGCTTTCATATATTTACGTGGTTCTTTTAAACATTCCGTTCAAAATAATGCATGATTTCAAAGTGTCTCATTTATCCGTTTTTGTTACTTTGTACTGTATTTCTTGTCCTTAGCCATGACTTCCTGTTCTATAAATATCATTTTTATGCTTCTAAATTTTTATTTGCAATCATGCATGTCTGCGAAATAAAGGAAAGAAGGTGGGTGTTGTTGTATTATTTTCTAACTATGTTATCATTACGTGTGCTTTTTACGATTTGCTAACTGAAACATTTGTATAGCACTTTCTCCTATATACATTACATACATATGATAAGAATAATGAGGTCATTATAAGATACAGATACATATGGCAAGCCATTGTAGCCATAACATAGAAACCTTCCCTCCCCTGTGCAATCTCGACTAAGCCAATCAGAATAGTTTGCAATCACATCTATAATGCGTGTAATGAGATCACTGTTAAGAGTAACTGAGCTTTCCACCACGATTGATTTCCATTTTGTCACTCGAAATACCTTGCAATCCAATATTTAAAGCCAATGCATGTAAATAGTTTTCTTGAGGTTCGAAGGTACCTATTCGATGCTGGAATGTACGATCTTAAGTGAGCCAAATCCATTTTAATCTGGCATTGTCGAGATGTTATCAACGTATGTTCTCGAGGCACGAATAGTCGACCCTGAGAAAGGCTTAAGGAGAATGTATTTCTCTCTAGATCCCGTATTTAAAACAGTAAAAGGCTTTTGTTTGCAACAATTTATTCGATTGGTTGTTTCCATGCAATAGTTTAGTATTTGCAATACGTTTATCATAGTCAATACAAGTTCGACTGAACGTTTATGTTAGTGCCCAAAGTTGAAGGGAGTGCTATTAAAACCTACGAATACGCGATCCGAATATGGATCTTGTAATTATAACTCTTTGTTTGGCGTACTCCAGCTTCTACAAAGCGCAAAGTTTAGACATTACTGCGTCGTTGTTCTGTTACATAGTTCAATCGCACACAGCAGAAGTTTCAATCTTAATGCATAGCTCAAGTAGGCCTAAACAAGTTACAAGGATCGTGTAATTAAAAGCTATCCTCAGATTGGTTCTGGCTGCATCGCAGATTCGAAGTTAGAAATTGCATTACGTTTACACGCTATTGTCCGAAATGGGTTGCCATATACACATTCGCTAGTAAGGGATGGGCCCAGCTGAAAAACGGAAGTTTATTCATGAAACCGCTTTTGTTGTATTGTTTCAGTTTGAAACAGTTGTGAGCAACATTACACATAAGTTTTCCATATTGTGATACTTATTTTCTTATGGATTCGGCGTAAGTAATATCATTTTTTATCTTTATAAGATCTCTCAGATAATGAGTCTTGTATTTTCGAAAATTTAAGAACGAGCGTTTTGATTTCACAATGATACTGTTTCTCTACAGAATAACACTCTTGGGAATTCTATCCACATATCTCAAGCCCACACCAGGCAACTATAAAATTCTAATTGAATCGCAATAGCATCCAATGGATTAATACCAATGACAAAAACATGGCTGAAGAGATCTAGATATTTACGTCAGGTATATCCGTCATATTAATTAGTTTCAACGTGATCTGGCCGCAAAACAATGCAGCTTGAAACTTAGAAAAGTATTCGAACTGAAAACTATATAGTATACGTATTACATTAAGTAAAAATGTCACGGCTTTGATTTGTATCATAGAAGTTACCAAATATAATGTCCGATTCACACATGATGTACATACTGTTAGCTACATCGGAGAAATGAAAAAAAAAATGTTATCAAACTAAACTTCTCAGATCAGTGACATTTCGAAGCAATTTCGGTACTTATCTTTCAGGGTGCCCTCGCAGCACAAGAAACATCTGCAAAATTTTAAAAAAGCAATTCTCCTAAAAAAAAGAGTTTTCTAAACTAGATTTTAATGTTGACCCTCGCATTTCTGTGGGTGTTTTTTTTTGTTTGCGTCTATGCAAATTCTTTTTTTTAAGCAGGGACTATTTGGAATATGTGCGCTTTTTGGAACAGCAAAGTCTAACATAGTTTAGGTGGCGCTCACTAATTATTATTTGAGAGAGTGATTTATATAAGGTGAAGTTGTTTGCATTTAAAACATGCACAGTGGAGAGAATGTTGGCATACCTCTATGCTACTTTCATGTAATGTGGCTGACATTTCTTTGGATATTGTACTTTTGGAAATTTTAAATGATTTTATCACACTGCTAACTACAATGACTGCTCCCTTGTGCTCCAAAAAAAAAATCAACCTGAATTTGTGTAAAGTACACTATCCTTGGCATTTATTAAAATAGGGAATTGAATTTTGCCATGAAAGAAATACCAAATACATAAAATGTAAAAAAAAATATTATCGGCCTTTTTTTTACAATTTACCCCTGAAGTTCAGGAAGTGAAAATGACCAAGTCGAGCTAGCACTTTTTTGAAAGGTGTACATCTGGAGTAAGACCAAGCTGTATACTCTATAACCAATATTGCACCCATCAATCATACACCAAAATAAAGGGAATGAAAGGTTCTTTGAACAATTCCTAAGATATATAAAGTATTTTTTAAATGGCCAGTATAACTAGTTAGGAAACCAGAGGAACTTCTTTTTCTTTAAAATTTAAACCCTATGCTAAATACGAAACTGTAAAGGACCACCTTTAATTGAATCACTGCTTAATTGAATATTTCCTAACTTCAGATGAAATCCAACAAATGTCGTATATGCCCAAACTGAAGTAAAGGCAAACAAGAACAAAATTACGAAAGTGTACCTTTAATGATCCGCGAATGCGGTGTGTGAGGTTTGTATAACTATTACTTTCAAAGCTTGTTACCTCCTCTTGCACAACAACAACAACTGCCGTTGTTGTTGGGCTTAACGCCATTTTTCAGCACATGATAGGCTATTCATGGCGGCCAGTATTAATGGTGGAAAAAGAAACCGGGAAATCACCGGAAAGAACCACCGAAACACGAGAAGCTACTGGCAAGCTTTCTCATATATCCACATTCGCCGAATCCTAGACTCGAACCCACGCAGACAGAGGTGAGATGGCAGTGATCCGTAATGGATAGCGCTTTAGACCACTTGGCCACTCGCAGCCCCACAACAACTGCTACTGCTGCTGCTACTACTGCTGCTACTACTACTACTACTACTACTACTACTACTACTACTACTACTACTACTACTACTACTACACCCAGAATAATTTTTGAATCAAAAGCCTGATACGAAATTTTTTCCTCAAGCTTTTAATCAGTTCATCTGCAGACCAAGCAATATGAAGTGAAATAAATATATCTAAATCAAGTGAAAAATATTAATACATAGCTATATACTAATTCCAGTACGGACACAATTTAAATATTTATGCCAGTCTCTAAAAAAGTTTCACAAAATCTAATGTTTCCCAAAAATATGCCCCAATTAAGATGTTTATAGTATTATTTAATTTATTGTAACAGAACGCTCCGGTGGCCTAAGTGTTCAGAGCCTCCACCTCAAATGCGGGAAGACGCGTGTTCGAACCCCGGTCAAGTCATATAAAAATCTTATTTAAAAAAATGGTATTAACAGCTGTCTTTCTTAGCGTTCAGCATTAAGTGCTTAGTGTTAGGACCTGTCAGCCTGGTGCCAGGATAATGTGACTGGGGGGGGATATCATGCAATCGTGTCTGTAGCATGATACTTCAGTGCTAGATATCACAATGATCTGGTACACTGCAGGCATTGTAGCAATATGACTAAAAAAATATAAAAGCTTCGTTTTAAAAATCCAAAGAGCACACATACGCGCGCGCACTCACAAACATACACACACACTTGTAACAACAGACCAGAGCTTTGATAATATGCTGCATTTATAGAGGACAAATTTTTACTATTTTTATACATAGCATTTCCTAAAAAAAAATTAATACGGAAATCACTGTATAATTACCGATATTAACAAGCTTTGAATTCAGTACTTTAAAATATAATGCTAGTAAAGGATTTAAAAAGAACATGTTCAACAACTAGCTAGATGAATGGAATTGTAAGAGTGGAGTTTCTGTTTCAAGTTTTACGGTTGGTGACCCTTGTGTTAAACTTCCACGAAGAAACGATCTGCTAATAAATTATAGTATTGCTTAGACGGTAAATTATATCAGATATGATACTTCCTCGCAATAATTAGTATGCGCATTTTTCCCTTTATCAGAAAATCTATCTCCAGCGCATGCAATTCGAACGCTGCATGTCGCCCCATTTTCAATTCATTTCCTGCCTGCACTCGCACCCATCCTTACAGACAGGATGTTGC